GAGTGTAGAGGAAATGAGACGAACCATTTCCAGAAACTGGCCTCTACTTCTTTGGACTTGCTTAGGATGGAATAGTAACAAAAAGTCTGTCAGTTAATTTTTGGAGGTGTTTGAAAACTCAAATGAAAAAATACTTTTTCCAATAACTGCAGAGCAGCTAATTAGGGGCCTCTCGTAGAGGATATGTCTGCCTGTTACATCTGTGCCATGGCTCTTGTGCAACATCAGTGGTGAAAGCAGCAAAAATACCAAATGAGAACCAAAAGTTCAGGAAAGGCTTCCAAAGAATGACACTGTTGCCAGGGGAGTAGAGATTTTTTTCCATCCCTGTAAGCCAAAGGGCAAGACTAGAGTAATAGGTACAATGGCTGGTCTATGATGGAAACTTTGAAAGCACAAATAACCATTTAAGGAGAGAAAAGTCAGAAACAAACAAAAAAAATCTAGTCCCTATTATTTAATAACTTCTAGTTAAAAGGTTTTTTTCAAGTGGCTGAGCCAAGTGCTAATTGAGTGACTGTAACTACAGCCAAAATTTAGTTATTTTGAATTCACAAAACTGAAACTATAAAAGAGCTTGATTAGGTGCTGGTCAGACGCTGTTCCCAACCTTGCTAAGAGGTATAGGTTGGCAAAGATCTCACTGGGAAGCAAATCCATCCTTTATTACTTTTTTTCCTCTGGGCAAAACAAAATGCAAAACAGATTTGGAAATAAAATAGTCAGTAGGAGAAAGGGTTTTTGCTTAAAGGAGTAAAGCCGCATTGCCCATGCAAATACGAGAAATCAACATGAAGGATTTTATCTGTAGTTTACAACTTGATTTCACTTTTTGTTTTTATTTTGAATCTGAGTCTCCATGTGAAAGAGAAGTTTTCTAATAGGTGATTGAATACACAAATGAAAGTGATAGATGCGGAAGAAATTAGCACAGAGATGTATAGGAAACTGGGGGATGTACTAAATCCACAGAGAGCGTGTGTGCGCTGAGCGGAGGAAGGAGGGACACGGGAAGTGTTGTGTCATGGAACCTGAAGGGAGAGAGTACTGTAGGTACAGCAATCCACATGGCGAGGCTCTCATGTGGTCAAGAGAGGTCAGGATTGAGGAGTGTCACTTGGAGATCAACGTGGCTTTGGACAGAGCAGGATTTATGGGATAGCAAGAATAAGAGCTATATTGCAGTGTGAAAAGGCATGAAGGGAAACAGTGAGTGTAGATGGAAGTCCAAGTCCATGAATTTACAGTCTGAATTACCTGGAGGAAGTTATGGCCTCTTTTCTTCAATCCTCACCCTTCATTTCTCTAACTGGCCCCACATGACAAGCTTTCACAGGACAAACCATGAGTATTCTGTATGCCATCGCCTCCTAAAATGTGATCCCAAAATGGAGGCAACACTCTATCTGGCCAGGCCTGTGTTGGTTGGGACTTTATCATCTGGTTCATATATTTATGGTATTGTAGGCTGAAGTTAAATGGGGCTTTATTGTTAGCCAAGTCATAATGTTGACTTATACCAAGGCCTATAATCTCCAGGTCACTATGAATTGCTATGGTTTTATAACCTTAGCTTATATGATGACAAAAATCTACATATCGGTATTATTCCTAGTAAGCTATATTAGATTTTGTGTCAGAATTCAATCACATCACCATAGCCCTAAATCCTCATTCATTACTCCTTCGAGCACTATTCATTTGCATATAGACTTATTAGCTGTTGGCTTACTACCTCATCAAAAATAATTGATAAAAATGTTAAGCAAGATAGCACCTGCTTCAAATGCTCTAATGTGATAGATTCTTCTTGATTAAAATGGATCTATTATTCAATGCTTGGGGGAAAGCACTACTCAGATAATTAGGTATTAATAATAAGCGTATATTATTTGTTAGGTAACTTTCACAGCAACACTATAATGTAGGAAATATTATCTCCATTTCACAGGGGGGAAAAGTAAGGCCTACAGGTAGTTCATTGCCACAGAGATTATAAAGTCATGCTTTAGACCAGGCCCTGTGGCTTCAGGCTGATACAATTAGCCATAGCACCCAGATCCCATGGACACACTTTTATAACTTTCTGTCAGCACAGGCATTGTGAGGGAATGTCCATGCAGCCCTCAGATCTGTACTCTCACAGAGAGAAGATGAGGTCATTTTAGTGTGGCTGCTTCATAGATAAGTAGTGGTCGTTTATCACCTCACAATCACCTCTATTTTTGCTATATGCTGACAAATTGCTTTTTGTGTCTAATTTAGAATTTTTCCAAAAATTACTGTCAATCATTCTTATCTGTGAGATTCCACAGTGAATCTTTTCCACATGTTAGAAATTAAAACATTTTCCCTTCAGACCTCTGGAACCTCTCCCAGTTTTTATTGTTCTGTTTTACGCTCTTAATTGCAGGCTATTAAATGTACTCAAACTGAGCCATGTGAACAGGATCTGTGTTTGTGCAGGGACTTCTA